AGGAGAAAGCTTTTTAGGGTGAACGTATAAAGCAAGGCAAATAAAGTACTTTATTGGTTAAAGTGGATCAGTAGCCTTATTTGAATGATTGTAGTAGAAAGTCTCACTAGAGGTCAGTTTGCAGTTTCTGATTGGTTGTTTTCTTGTTGAAACTGAGTTGGGTTTCAGTTTGTTATAGTAGAAACCCAGAGCAATGGAGACACCTCAGTGTAATGGCCTCCACATGAATTATTTTAATATCCTGAATCAGAATCTCCAGAGGGAAGGCCATGGGAATCTGTATTTTCAACAAGCACTTATGTGATTCTTATTATATACATAGTTTGAAACGGTTGGTCACTGCCCTTGGTGAATTCTATGACTCACCGTTCTGTGAATCTAGTTCATATAGGTCCTTTCTAGTTGTAGTCCCAGCTGACATGATGTTTTCTCTATCAATATTTTTCAGATCTCCATGTTCATGTTCCCTGTAATGTCAAGCCTACCCACAATTCCTTAAAAAGCCACTTAGCAACAATGCATATTTATCAATTTAAGTCACCACTTTTCTTTCTTGTGTTGTTTCTTTTTCCATAACCAAATGTTTCAATGCTGACAGATAGTCCAAACATCTCATTAAATGTGAGTACCAGTATAGGTTTTTCCAGTGTAACATTATTTTCTAACAAAATAAAACTTTTAACCGCCATTATGTGGGTGAGGTTAGCTGGAGTCCTGTGGAGCGAGATGGAATTCTGACAAAGGTCCTGAAGCTCTTACAATGTTGAAAACCTCTTTCTATACATTAACTGACCATAACTTCTGGGAAATCCTGGTAGAGCTCCTGTTTTGTAGAACCACAGTCCTTCTAGTCATGCTTGACACATCTACTCCCAAGCATGGAAACTTAGAATGCAAATGATTTGTGTCAATTGTACTGCGTGGCAACAAATTGTGACTTTACTCAGCAAGGAGACATTTTACGCTATCCGTCTCTTAAAAGCTGCTGGCTATGGGTAGCAATCAAGTGCTAGCATCACACAGGCAAGAAGGTGACCCAGGGAATGTGTTAGGAGAGAATAGAATGCATCTCCAGTGTCTGCTTTCCTCTCATAAACTGTGGTTTCGGCAAGTGCAACTATCGTAATTTGCTCTTTTTTTTTCTCCCGAAGGCCATTTTGTCTTATCTGATGTTGAAACCCTTCCACATAGCTGTGAACACTGAAACATAAAAAAGAGAAATCACTTGGAAATTTGCTCAAGTCTCTTGCTATGCTTGACATTTCTACACTGATAAGGTGGAATATTGACTTTTTGGTTAAGTTCAGATTAGGTGTCTGGTCCATAAGCATTGATTGTGAACTATTATCTTTCTTCTTCTTTAGGGCACTAAGTTGTCTTACAAAAATAGAAAGGACAAAAGTAGAAAAAATTGTTAGCTGAAATATTGTCATTAATTACTTGAAGGTCTTTCCCTGGCTGTGATAAAAATTATCATTAGCTTTTGAGATATGGCGTATTTTGTTGAAGATAGTGTTGGTAAACATTAGAACATACTAAAAATTGGATTTTTATATTTGTAGATTATTTACATACATCTTCAAATTCATCTATCAAGGAAAATGCCACCCTATTATCAATATAAGTGCACAAACTAGGTAACTGGCAGACTATTATTATTTACCAGTTAAACGTATATCAGTGCCATACTAAAATCAATAGATGAAGATTGTTTCACTCAATTTAGCCAGAGAACATCCAATCTGGCAGATTAAGCTTCCTCTTATCACTCTGTTAGAAATAGAACAATTAAGAGAATCTACAACACAGATTATTTTACCTCACTAAACCCCTCATGAGTTGCTGCATTGTCTCCCAATGGAGACTGTAAATTCCTGATAGCAGGATGATCTCTGATTGATTTCCCAAGATGCATCATTTTTTGTCTTCTGTCATTCCTTATCACTCCACCAACTAAGATAATTAAACCCTATTCGGAATGCTTTTCAAGTCAAATCCTCAATTAAATCAACAGATCCTGCAGGGCTGTGGAGAAACAAGATATGGTCTCTGTTCCCAAGGAGTTTATAATTTATTTAAAAACAAGGTAATACAGAGTTACTATAATAATGTTAGAAAAGGAAAAATCACTGAGTTCAGTGGGAAAAAATCTCATACTGTGGACTAGAATGGTGATGTCAGCCTTCATCAATAGATATGCTCTGACCCTGAAAGAATTAACTACAGGAAGGACAAAAGCATTCTAAGTTTTCTGTGAGACAAGACATTCTTATTATAGTATTGGTCCATCATCCCGTATGATTAAAATATTTTGTATATAGTTGGCCCTTTGTATCTATGGGTTATGTATCCATGGGTACTGTATTCATGGCTTCAACAAACTATGAATTTTTTAAATTCAGAAAAAAAATGATGGTTGTATCTGTATTGAACATGTAAAGACCTTCTTTTTGTCATTATTGCCTAAACAATATAACAACTATTTACATAGCATTTACATTGCACTGGGTATTATAAGTAACAATGATGATTTAAAATATACAGTAGGATGTGCATAGCTTATATGAAAATATACCATTTAATATAAAGGACTTGAGTATCCATGGATTCTGATATCCATAGGGTATCCTGGAAAAAAAAAATCTCTCAATGATACTGAGGAACAACTGTAAAGAAAATTTTGTTTTAGGACACAAGTGACTAGCTTGATTGTTCCTCTTTTCAAGGAAAAAAAAACTAGACATTACTTTGCTATTGCTTTCATAAGGCAGTTAAAATCTAAAATATATAAAAATACATATATGAAACATATGATATTGCTGTCTATTTTTGATCTAAAGAAGCTGTAATTTCACATGATTAAAATATATACATATATACTTGCATAAGCATATACACATAAACACATAAATATGAATACATATTTAATGTAAAACTTCTTACCTTTATTTGAGCAAAATTTACTACCTGCACTAATTTTCAGTTGTATTAACATCTAACAAGAAAGAAAGAAATTCTCAATAAAGCCATTTCTGTCAGCACTATCAGTACGTATTAAGTGTGAAGTCTATTTTCAGTATCTGTAGAATGTCCCTGACTTGCCAAAAATAATATTTGATGACTCAAGTTGTGAATCATGCAACAGAATTTGATTTGTAGTTGGATAGGCAGTTACATTAAATCTTCACCCCTAGGAATCCACACCCAAGTATACCAGAAATCAAGAATGAAAGAAATTGGAGAGCTTGAGTCATTGCCACCTTGAATAAGTGATCCAGGTGACAAGAGCACAAATGAACAAATGTTTCAGCAAATAAACCAAAAATGAAATAAAATTTAAAATACCACTGTGTGCCCCACTCACCACAGCGAGCAACTGTGCACACCATCAGGGGGACTGAGGACAGGCCCCTACTTCCAGCCACCACCACAGGTACCTGCACATATCATCCAGAGGCCTGGGGATCAACTCATCCCTGTTGCCACTGCTGGCACCCACAAACATGGCCTGAGGGGCCTGAGGACAAACTCACCCTGCCTACCACCATTGCCACTGCTGCCGGGGCCCCAGCACATTATCCAGGAGTTGAGAGATCAATTCCTGCCATCCACCACCACTGGCACCCATGCACTTTACAGTAGCCTGAGGATAGGCCCACCACGCCACCACAGCTGCCCAGGTACTTTGTCCAGGGGCCTGAGAATAATCACCCTCTATTGCTGGTGATTATGTATGCCTCCCAAAAACCCAAGTACAGGCCACTCAGCCTGCTGCTGCTACTATTGCTGGCACCCACCTACATGTACCACCTGGGGTCCTGGAGACTGGCCCACTCTGCCTTCTGATGCCACCACTGGCACCTGTGCATGATACTCAAGGGCCTGAGTATTAGCTCACCACTGCCTTCACCACCACTGACCCAATACACACTGGCAAGGGGCGAGAGGACCCACCCACCTGCCTGGCCCACTGCTAGCACCCAAAGAAGCTGCCCAGAGCCCCAAGGACCAGCCCACCCAGACACGCCACCATTGACATCTGGTACACCACCTGGGGGCCATGGATCTGCACACCTGACCTGCCACTTCGACCACTGTCATCCAAGACTGAACCACTTGGAATCCCCATCCCTGGCAAAGCTTTGCCACAGCCTCTACTAACAATCATAGCCTAAGCCACTGAAGAACTGACAAACACCACTAACACTGATTACAAATGAATAAATCATATAGAAAGTATAATACTGTGCCAACCCAAAATCAAAGCCAAATCACCTTACTCAACAAACAATATAATCTACAGGAAAAAGTCTTTACCTAAGAAAAACAATCCATAAAATTTGTAGAGACAACTGTTACAGCAGATATGCAGATATCAGCATCTTCTATCCTTATGTAAGAATCATGAAAAAGCTAGGGAATCTTGTATCCTTATACAAGAATAATGAAAAAAATTAAATTAAATTAAAAAGCAAGGAAACAAGACACCTCCAATGGAACACAATAATTTATCCAGTAACAGATACCAACAAAAAGGAAATTTATGAAATGCCTGAAAAAGAATTAAAAATAGTGATACTAAAGAAACTCAGGGAGATACAAGGGAACAAAAATAAATAATAGAAAGAAATCAGGAAAAAACAATTCCCAATATGAACAAAACATTAAACAAAAAGATAGATAGACTGAAAAATAACTAATGAGAAATCCTGGAACTGAAGAATGCAATAAATAAAATTTAAAAATATAATTGAGAACTTCAACAATATACTAGATCAAGCAGAAGAAAGAATATGTAAACTTGCAGATAGGTCTTTGAAATAACAAAGTCAGAGCCCCCTACCCAAAAAAAGAAAAGAATAAAGAATAAAGAAGAATAAAGAATTAAAAAGCCACATATAAACAGCATAAAGTGACCAAATATTCAAATTGGGGAAGTTTCAAAAGAAGAGATGGGCAAAGGCATAGAAAACCTATTTAACTAAATAATAGAAACTCACCAGGTCTTGAAGAGATATAGACATCCAAATACAAGAATCTCAAATATCCTCAAATAGATTCAACCCAAAAAGGTCTTCTGCAAAGTACTTCATACTTTAGGTTTTGTCAAAACCTAAAGACAAAGAGAAAACTACAAAAACAGCAAGAGAAAAGCATCAGGTAACATGTAAGGGAATCCATATCACACTAACAGTGGATTTCTCAGCCAACACCTCACAGCCCAAGAAAGAATTGGATGACATATTCAATGTACTGAAAGAAAAAAAGCCAGACAAGAATATTATAACCAACAAAGCTATCCTTCAAAAATGAAAAAATTAAGTTTCCCAGACAAACAAAAACTGAGGAAATTCATCACAACTAGACTAGCCCTATAAGAAATACTTCAAGGAGTCCTGGAAGCAAAAAATTCTATATACCATTATGAAATACAATTCTAAACATATATGCCCACAACACTTTAACACCAAATATATAAAGCAAATATTATTAGATCTACAGAGAGAGATAGACTCCAATATTATAATAGTTGGGGTCTTCAGCACCCCACTGTCAGCACTGGACAAATCATCCAGACAGAAGATCAACAAAGAAACATTGGATTTAAACTTCACATTAGACCAAATGGGCCTTACAGAACATTTCATCCCACAGCTGCAGAATACATATCCTCCTCAGCAGCATGGAACATCCTCCAGAACAGACAATATGTTAGATCACAAAACAAATCTCAATAAATTTTAAAAACTTAATTCATATCAAGTATTTTTTCAGACCACAATGGAATAAACTAGAAATCAATAGCAAGAGGAACCTTGAATGTTTTATATGTACATGGAAATTACATAACTTGCTCCTGAATGACTAATAGTCCAATGAAGAAATTAGGAAGAAAGTGAAAAATGGAAACACAGCATATCAAAACCTATGGTACTGGTACAACAAAAGCAGTACTAAGAGGGAATAAATGCCTACATAAAAAAAAAAGGCAGATTCGAAATAAACAACCTAGAGGTGCACCTCAAAGAACTAGAAAAGTAAGAAGAACTCAAATCCAAAATTAATAGAAGAAAAGAAATAAAAAAGATTCAAGCAGAACTAAACAAAATAGAGACTAAAAAACATGTAAAGGATGAATGAAATAAAAAGTAGTTTTTTTAAAGATAAACAAAATTGACAAAACTTTTGCTAGACTAGGAAAAAAAAGGGAAGACCCAAATTAATAAAAGGAAAATAGAAAAAGGAGGCATTACAACTGATACCACAGAGATACAACTAAAGTACACTAACAAACTGGAAATCCTAGAGGAAGTGGTAAGTTCCTGGAAATACACAACCTACCAAGATTGAATCATGGAAAAACATAAAACCTCAACAGACTAATAATGAGAAACAAAATTGAATCACTAATACAGGGCCTCCCAATAAAGAAAAGCTGAGGATTTAATGGCTTTACTGCTGAATTCTACTAAACTATAAAGAAAAATACACATCAGTTATTCTCATACTATTTCAAAAAATAGAAAAGGGATTTCTTCCTAACTCATTACAAGGCTAATATTACCCTGATCCTGATATCAGACAAGGACATGATGACAATAACAAAATCTACATGCCAACATCTCTACTACTGAACATAGATGCAAAAATTCTTAACAAAATACTAGCAAACTGAATCCAAAAGCACATCAAAAAGATACTACACCATGATCAAGTGGAGTTTATCCCAGGGATACAAGGATGTTCAAGATACACAAATCAATAAACATGATATATCACATCAACAGAATGTACAAAAACTGTATGATCATCTCTATAGATGCAAAAATACATTTGATAAAATTCAGCAGCCCATCATGATAACTAAGAACAAATTAGGTATCATAAGAATATACCTTAAAATAATAAAAGCCACATAGGACAGTCCCAAAGCTAACATCATACTGAATGGGAAAAAGCTGAAACCCTTTCCTCTATGAACTGGAACAAGACAAAGATGCCCATTTTCATCACTCCTACTCAACATAATACTGGAAGTGGTAGCCAGAGCAATCAAGCAAGAGAAATAAATAAAAGGCATCCAAATTACATAATAGGAAGTCAAATTTTCCCTCTTTGTTGATGATATGCTCTTATACCTAGAAAAAACTAAAGGCTCAGCCAAAAAATTTCTCAGATTTAGTAAAAATTCAATAAAGTTGCAGATACAAAATCAACATACAGAAAATCAGTAGCATTTCTACATACCAATAATGACCTAGCTGAGAAGGAAATCAAGAAGACAATCCCATTTAGAATAGCTACCAAAAAAGTATCAAGTAACAAATTTAACCTCTAACCAAGGAGGTGAAAGGTATCTATAAGTAAAACTACAAAACACTGATGAAAGAAATTAAAGAGGACATCAAAAAATAAAAAAAATCCCATGCTCATGGATCATAATTAATATCATTAAAATGACCATATTGCCCAAAGCAATCTACAGATTCAATGTAATCCCTATCAAAATACCATTGTCATTCTTCACAGAGTTAGACCAATCCAAAAATTCTATGGAACCACAAAAGAATCCAAATGCCAAAGCAATCCTGAGAAAATAAACAAAGCTATAGGTATCACACTATCTGACTTCAAAACATACTATGAAGCTAAAGTAACCAAAACAACATGGTATTGGTAGAAAAAGAGACACACTTACCAATAAAACAGAATAGAAAACCCAGAAATAAAGCAACATATTTACAACTAAATGATTTTTGACAAAGGTGCCAAGAACACATATTCGGAAAAGGCTATCCTCTTGAAATATGGAAAAAGTGGATACCCATATACAGAAAAATGAAGTTGGACCCCTATGTTTCACCATTTACAAAAATTGACTCAAAATGGATTAATGACTTAGTAAGATAAAAAAACTATAGAATACATAAGGAAATGCTTCAGGACATTGGTCTAAGTAAAGATTTTATGGCTAAGGCTTCAACAGCACAGGCAGCAAAAACAAAAATAGGTAGACAAATGGGACTATATAAAACCATAAAGTTTCTTCACAGCAAAGAAAATGATCAACATGCAAAGAGACAACCTGTTGAATGGGAGAAAATATTTGCAAACTATACACGTAACAAAAGATTAATATCCAGAATACACAAGGAACTCAAATAACTTATGGCAAAAGCAAAAAACAAAAACAAATAATCCCATTAAGAAGCAAGCAAAGGATCTAAATAGTCATTTCTCAAAATATGGCATAAAAATGGCCAACAGATAAAATTATAAATGTTCAATATCACTATATAATCAGGGAAATGTAAAGTGAAACCTCAGTGAGATACCATCTCATCCCAGACAGAATGGTTTTTATAAAAAAGACAAAAAAAAACAGATGCTAGTGAGGATGCAGAGAAAAGAGAACTCTTATACACTGTTGTGAGAATGTAAATTGCACCAACCATTATGGAAACAGCATGGAGATTTCTCAAAAAAAGTAAAAAAAAAACTAAAACTAAAAAACTACCATACAATCCAGCAATCTCACTACTGAACATTTTTCCAAAGAAAAGGAAATCAGTATATCAAAGGAATACCTGCACCCTATGTTTACTGCAACACTACTTATAATATCCAAGATATAAATCAACCTAAGTGTCCATCACCAGATAAATGGAAAAAGAAAATGTGGGGCTGAGCTTGGTGGCTTATGCTTTGTAATCCTGGCACTTTATGAAGCCTAGATGGGAGGATCACTTGAGCCCATGAGCGTAAGACCAGCCAGAGAAACATAGTGAGACCTTGTCTCTACAAAAGAAAAATTTTTAAATTAGCCAAGTATGATGACACATGCCTGTAGTTCCAGCTACTTGGGAAGCTGAGGTGGGATGATGGCTTGAGCCCAAGAGGTCGAGGCTACAGTGAGCCATGGCATGCCACTGCACTCCAGACTGGGTTACAGAGCGAGATCCTTCCTCAAAAAAATAAATAAATAAATAAATATATGATATGCAACACAAGGGAATACTATTCTGCTGTAAAAAAGAATGAAATCTTATAACTTGTAGCAACAAAGACAGAACTGGACGTTACTATATTAAGTGAAATAAGCCAGGCTTAGAAAGGCAAATAACACATGTTCTCATTCATATGTGAGAGCTAAAAAAGTTAATCTCCTGAAGGTTGAGAGTAGAATGAGGCCTGGCACAGTGGCTCATGCCTGCAATCCAAGCACTTTGGGAGGCTGAGTTGGGTGGATCACTTGAGGTCAGGAGTTCAAGACCAGCCTGGCCAACATGGTGAAGTGCCATATCTACTAAAAATATAAAAATTAGCCTGGTGTGGTGGTAGGTGCCTGTAATCTCAGCTACTTGAGGAGCTGAGGCACGAGAAACCCAGAAGGCAGAAGTTGCAGTGAGCCGAGATCATGCCACTGTACTGCAGCCTGGGCAACAGAGAAAGACACCATCTCAAAAAAGGAGAAACAGTAGAATAATGGTTACCAAAGGCTGGGAAGGGTTTAAGGTGAGGGCGGTAATGAAGAGAGGTTGGTTAATGGGTATACAAATAAAGTTAGATAGGAGGAATAAATTCTAATGTTCAAAAGCACAATAGGATGACTATAGTTAAGAGTAATTTATTGTATATTTCAGAACAGCTAGAAGGGTTGAAATGTCCCCAACATCAAGAAATAATAAATGTCTGAAGTGATGGACATCATAAATACCCTAATTTGATTATTACACACTGTACTCATGTATCAAATTATTACATATGCCCCATAACTATGTATAATTATGTATTTAGTAAGAAAAGAAGACTACTTGCCTGTTTTGACCTGAGAGGGAAGGCAAGTACAAGGGAGTCTGGTCATGAAGTGATAGCATCATAGAAAAAAGGATAGCACAGCAAATTTTACCTGGTCTTTTCTATAATTAAGAGGAACCCATCTTGAGCTTCACATAAGGTTCAGTTTCAAACTAGGCAAACCAAGGAAAAAGATTCCAAAGAATTCTTTAAAACATGACTCAGCCAACTGGGTTACTATGTGCTCTAAAAGTCAGTCTATTCCAGAAACCATGTTAGATTTTATGATCCTCCTTGAGCTTAGATATAGAACCT